AACAAATAAAAACAAAAAGGAAATTCCAATTTTAAATATTTCATGTTCAACAGCCTGAAACTAAGGGTGGCGAAATCATACTAGACATTACCAAAATATCCAGACCCTAACTACTAAAATATAACATAATATTTATTTTCAAAAAAAGTATTCGTTCAGGAATCGAACTAATATACCATGATCATTAGTCATTAGGATCGTAGAGCACTTTACCACCGAGGCGCTTGAACTATCATGTCCCATAATTAAAACGAAAATATATCAAAATTGTTTGAATACTAATCTTGGTTCATTCAACTCTTAAATGAAAGTTACCAAAGCACTAGCTAGTATTATAGAAGATATCGATCAACTAGTCACTCCAGTAATCACATTCATACGTTTAAAAAAATGACAAATTTTATCAGAAAATGTTTATATTGAAATCCTGATCACGAATACATTTGCATTATTTATGATAGAAGAAAATTAAATATTAAAATTAATTAGTAGAAATTTGGCATTTACGTGACGGATAAAAAATTAAAAGAATAAACAGAGCGACGCAAAAACTGTTCTATTAAGTTAATTAGTATAAGTTAATTAGTACTAAGTTAACTGTTCTATTATTATTATTATTTTTTATTGCTTAGAGGGGTGGACGAGCTCACAGCCCACCTGGTGTTAAGTGGTTACTGGAGCCCATAGACATCTACAATGTAAATGCGCCACCCATCTTGAGATATAAGTTCTAAGGTGTCAGTATAGTTACAACGGCTGCCCCGTCCTTCAAACCGAAACGCATTACTGCTTCACGGCAGAAATAGGCGGGGTGGTGGTGCCTACCCGTGCGGACACACAAGAGGTCCTAAAATTAATTAGTATAAGTTAATTAGTATTAAGTTAACTGTTCTATAAGTCTGTTAAGTTCTAAAAGAGTTATCGACATTAAAAAAATTAGACTTACATTATCCTTTTTGGTTTTAGTTATTTTAGTTATTTTGATAGTGCGGGGAAAGCTAACTACAAAAATAATGTACTAAATTAAATTAAAGTTGAAATAAAACATAACACAAAAATACACGTAGGTACTATGCATATGTAGCAATAAATACTTATGCAAAATTATGCAAACAGAAAGTGTCGCTTGATTTACAGCACAGACTTACAAATGAAACTATTTACACCGTCTACCATAATCATCATAACACATGACATTTTGCGCACTTTCATTATGTGATTTCAGATGTGTTGCAATGCGTTAGACAAATGTCGGAGACACCAGAATCAGCGTCACGCAGCTAGTGTCAGAAAAGATCTTAATCGTCATGTTCGAGATTGCGTTTTCCTCTTGTTTACTTAAATTACTTAAGATCATGTACTTGTCGCTCGGTGGATATTTTTAGATATGAGTTTTAAATAAGAAAATAGTAAGTTTCGTATGAAACAATGGTTGGTATGACGCTAAAGAAATAAAGACATACAAACATACGTTGTATTTATTGTATTATACGTAATGTAAAAGAAAGGTAACTTTTTTAATTTTTTTTTATTTCTTAGATGTGTGGACGAGCTTACAGCCCACCTGGTGTTAAGCGGTTACTGGAGCCCATAGACATTTACAACGTAAATGCGCCACGCACCTTGAGATACAAGTTCTAAGGTCTCAGTACAGTTACAACGGCTGCCCCACCCTTCAAACCGAAACGCATTACTGCTTCACGGCAGAAATAGGCAGGGAGGTGGTACCTACCCGTGCGGACTCACAAGAGGTCCTACCACCAGTAAATGCACAAAAATGTGTTTAGAATATATATAAACACATTTAGAAGCACATTTAGAGAATTAAAATTTTTAAACGATAGCTTCCAATATCCAACGGACACATATACTGGTAGTAATAAATAAACTCACGTTATCAAGTCGTGACAAAGGCCGAAATACATTCGGCCGCGATCTAAGATCCATTAGCGTAATGAATAATTATATAGCGGCTTCGGATTCGGCCGCGCAAATGCCGTACTCAGCCGCCGGCTCCTGGCGAGGTCGACTTTTGCAATCTACATTAAAGTGCTCGTTAAATACAAATTTAAAGCAGGATAAAGCATCCTGATTTATGTTAAAATAAGCGAGCCTGGTCGACAATGTCACGCACTGAAAACCATCTTAAAAATAGGAAAAAAGATCCAGAGCTTTATTACAAAGCAACCTATTGGGTCTAATAGAAAATATAAACGATTCAGGGACTCAAACGCACAGAAAAAACATCAAAATTGATCCACCCTTTATAATAGAACTTAGAGCTCAAATATCTCTGGTGTTTGATACATTAAATATCTCTGGTGTTTACTGATGGTAGGACCTCTTGTGAGTCCGTACGGGTAGGTACCACCATCCTGCCTATTTCTGCCGTTAAGCAGTAATGCACTTCAGTTTAAAGGGTGGGGCAGCCGTTATAACCATATTGAGATCTTATTAGACCTTATATCTCAAGTTTGGTGGCGCATTTGCGTCGCAGATGTTTATGGGCTCCAGTAACCACTTAACACCAGGTGGGCTGTGAGCTCGTCCACCCATCTAAGCAATAAAAAAAAACAAAAACAAAAACCTAAATCCAAATTCACAGTTATTATTGTAAAGTGTACAATTGACTTACACATAAACAAGTGATACAACAACAAACAAATCTTTTAACCGAACTCTGCATACCTTTCTCTATTCTCACAAACTCCCCAAAGTTTTTGACAACTAAAACTGATATTGTTTCATTTCGTTTTCCAGAATTGTCAAATCTCAAAATTGCTCTACATGTTTCCTCGCATTTAATATATATTTCCATAACTTATTCTATTAAAAGAGATAAGCTGGCGATTAAAATCAATTGAAAGTTTTACCATTCTAAGGCTGTAACTTAATTTGCTTGTATTTCGACACAGTGAGACTTATTTGAATCCACGACTCGTTTATAAATATTTGTATTGTAATCAACTATGTTACAGAACGAGCGAGTGACGCGACATAGCTTCTCACGATCTACTCTCGGGACGCTAACGATGTTTTGCTCTCGACGTGATCTAGAATAATTGATAAATTGTATTCACAGAGTCATGCTCTGAAGTTACGTTAGAAACGACACTTGTTAAATATTTCTGAATTTGGCTTTAATCACAATTTTGACTTTAAAATTTTCTTTTGCTTCGGAGAAATGAGTAGCCCAATATGTTGAAGTGATACTTGAAGTGTCCCCAGGCAACCCCGGGCGGCTTGGTAGTAGTAGTGCCGTACCGTGGAGACCGGCGTCGTCGATTATCGCCTCGACGACCCGTCGGTCGGGCGTTCTCTAGGTGGCGCCGCGAGTCTGGTTGTAGTGTTGACTGCCGGAACCCCCCTATTCGGATCGGATTTCTGACCCCAGACGGAGATCGGACGTCGGGTGTAAGAGTGCATGGGAGTCGTTTAGTGCGGTAGGGCCCTAAAACTCCCGCGGTCTGCTCCCAACATCAGCAGATTGTCAAATCTTCAATTTTTTTCGATTTCAAGGAGGGTGGCGCATTTACGTCGTAGATGTCTATGGGCTCCAGTAACCACTTAACACCAGGTGGGCTGTGAGCTCGTCCACACATCTAAGCTATAAAAAAAAAACCACATACCCCGCGCGCTCACTTAGGCGCGGAGACCTCGTAGGAGGTTCGACCCCCGTACCCGAAAAAAAAGTCCCCAGGCAGCGCGAAAGATTACCACAGTGACTATTACTGCACCTTGTTTCTCAAGAAAGTGTGATACGTCAGTTAACTCACCGCGAAACGTAGATATAGCATATAGAAACGCACTTTGTTGATTGAAATCTGAAAGCTAATGACACAATTTATTAACAGCTACTCACATGAACATTAACAGTATACTTTAAAATCTATTGAACACATTAACCCTTAACCCATAACTTCAATTTCAACAATTACATAATGTTTCTTTCACGTAGTAATCGTTATGTCTTTTCATCAGAAACATATTATACCATTATGTAAAATATATCTGTAATTAACGTTACTAGAGGTCCCGCAGTAGTCGAAATTCGACTATAATTAATTGGAATTGTAAGTTTGTACACTATTATGATTGTATTTTTATACTTCTATAATCAGAAATTTCGCCAAGACTACGCTATAAAAAATATTAACAAAGACAAACAATATTTAATCTATTCTCAATTTGACAACAGACGTGCGCCATTTTGAGAAGGCAGCACGACATGAGAACCCTCTCATCGTAGCCGCTGGAAATTACATACCCGACCCAGTAGACCGAATGGTAAACCGTCGACGTCGCCCAAAGCACGTCATTACGGATCCTCCTGATCCATTAACGGTGCTTTTAGGCACCACAAGCACCGGTCACCGTCCTCGTCGAACCCGTCGCGTGCGACGAAGGGCTCGACGAGCGAACTAACCCATAGACACAGCCCACTGAGTTTCTCGCCGGATCTTCTCAGTGGGTCGCGTTTCCGATCCGGTGGTAGATTCTGCGAAGCACTGCTCTTGCTAGGGTCAGTGTTAGCAACTCTCCGGTTGAGCCCCGCGAGCTCACCTACAAACGTTAGGGTGAAGCTGAAAGAGCCTCTTAAGGCTATCAGCATAGGTAGGAAAAAAAAAAACAGACGTGAAGAACAAAAGTTTGATAATAAATAGTATGCATGCGTGTGTGCGTCAAATAAATGGTATGTAGTGTGTGTAATGTTTTCTTTATTGATTTAATGTATCTTTTATGCATTATTTAAAAAAAATATTAGCATTGTGCACTTCTTCTCTATATTCTCTATAAGTGTGGAAAATTTCATACTCCTCGCGCAATTTTCGTAAAAAGGGATACAAAGTTTTTGCTTCACGTATTAATATATAAATATTTAACTCAAAATATTATTCCGGCTGAATCAGGCTCCATGTACTAACAACACAAACTTCTTGCCAATTCATAAATTGCAATATTTACATGCGTAACTAATTTCAATATTATTTTTGTTACAGGGTCGTGCTAAGGTGTAGTCATGAGACATTCTGTGAATTATTCTAAATGGTAATAAGTGTTTATGTAATAATGTCATATGTGCGTCGAATGTGATGTGCGCGTGTTGTGTAATGAACAGTGAAACGCGCCTAAACTGAGTAACCACGTGGCAATGAAAAGAGAAAAGTACAAGACCTTCATTGAAAACAGGTGAGGCCTGTCATATAACTTACATGAGATAAATATTCCGATGGCTTTGTAAGCATATATGTAATGAGCTTATAAAGTATTCTATGTCTACATTTTTGTTTTTATTGGCGACATTACAAATGCTTATTAAGTGCTATTTTAATTTAATATACATAAATCAATGTTAGTTTACATAGTCCATGCGCCCGCCTAAACTTACTACAAACCTATCTAGTTATAAAATAAAATATTAGACGTATTTTATGTAAATTTATTCATCAATACTAATTACAATTAAATATATAGTACTGTTATATAAAAGACAGATTATTTGAAGATGGAAATGTTCCACCTGCTCGAAATTATCAATCTTCTTTGTCCGTCAATTGGAAAAATATTATAAAATTATATTTATTTCATCAGACACGGATAATATAAGCCTACATGTAAACGCCTATGCACTTTTATAAGCACTTATTTATTCTAATATATGTATTATCTCCCGAATTCCTATTCGTCATTTGATATCGAGATCATAATTTTGTTCGCTTATACATAAATATAATAATATATATTGTGCATAAATATAATAATAATCTTCTATATCTATATATATAAAAATGAATTGCTGTTCGTTAGTCTCGCTAAAACTCGAGAATGGCTGGACCGATTTGGCTAACTTTGGTCTTGCAAGAATGATTTGTGGAAGTCCAGAGAAGTATTAAAAGGTAGATAAATATGAAGGAACTATATAAAAATAACAATTTTATTTTTTCTTTGAAGTGTCCCCCGTCGGACGGATTCCTTTTGTTTGTTTTAAGTTTATTTTATACTTTTATTTATCAATTGAGGCACTAGTCTGCCGGTTCAGCTAGTAATAAATACAAATATAACTCACGCGCTCTTACAGTTAAGCTGAAAAGAATATCATACACTGCCTATCGTATTAAATATTGTCTATTACACACTTATTACGAAACAACATATTGTTTGTTTTGAAGAATGCACTACAAAGCTTAATTAATGTCATGAGCAGGCCGAGCGGATGGAAAGGAACCACAATTATTATTGTTGTGTTACCCCAAATAACAAAGGCTTTGCGTATGTAATCTACGCGATTTTTCGGCATGAAATTACAGAAGCAATAAAACAAAACATATTTGACCAACAACAATCTTAAAGGCCGTAGCGTTTTTTACAAAATACATGAAAAATATCGCAATCCGAGGTGTTTTGCGATTATCAACGGAAACCATCTAAATATTAAGTGTATATAAACCGTTTTTCACGCACATGATTTATGAAATCTCAAATTAGTGCCAAAATAATGACATCAGTGATAGGTTGAAGTTCGCAAATATAAATTAATGTAAACAGACTGCAAAAAAACGGAAAACAAAATAAAGCGAAAGTAAAAAAAACTTTTTTTTTTAATTGCCCTATTTCATTTTATGATTTTCAACTTTAAAACCTGATAAATAATTTTTAATCAGCACGTTTTCACAGATTTCAGCAATCACCTAGTTTATATTAGGAATGTTTTTATTGATTGACAAAGGTGGGCCGCCTAATGTCATGGCCTAAAGGGTAAGACGTCTGTTGAATTTGTATCTAGCGATGCACCGGTGTTGGGATCTTGCTGAGAAGTACCAATTTGTCTAATGAAATACATGCTTAACAAATGTTCACGATTGACATCCACGGTGACGGTATAACATCGTGTAGTAAAAATCAAACCCACAAAATTATAGTTTGCGTAATTATTGGCGGTAGGACGACTTGTCCGCACGTGTAGGTATCACCTTATTTCTGCCGTGAAGAAGTAATACCTTTCGGTTTGAAGGGTGGGGCAGCCATTGTAACTATTCTGAGACCTTAGATCTCATATCTCAAGGTGGGTGGCGGCATTTACGTTGTAGATGTCTATGTGCTCCGGTAACCACTTAACACCAGGTGGGCCGTGAGCTCCTTCACCTATCTAAGCAATAAATAAAAAAAAGATCCATCTGGTTAGAGCGGTCACCGGAGCCCAAGGATACCATACTTTGAGTGCCATCGTTTACATTAAGACATTAGACAATAAGAGAGTGATATTTGAAGAAGTTGATCAAAAACTAAGGCCTTGAAACATTGACCCGGCCGGTTTCTTGAAAGCAAGACTGCAGTGTGCTTAGTGCGAATTTGTATGCAGTTTGAACTATGTTTGCGTGTAGAGGCGCCCTTTGGGACAAACGTAGGCATACGTTCCAACTCCATACAAATCTGAGTTAACTTTTACGCTATCGAGAACGTTAAAATATTCGCACTAAGCACACAGATACAAAGATGTGTAAGAAGAATATTAGAAAAGCTAACGGAGGTCGTATTTTCTAATTAACAGTCGGTCAGAATTCGAAGATCCTCTCGATCTTCAAGAGCCCCGTCCCTGCATACATAACTTCTTATAAAGTACCTTAACTCTATAAAGTAACACATCATACACATTTATGAAGATGCACAATTTTAAATGTCGTAATTTAACGACCGATGCCGTCGAACACAATGTAGACTGTACAAAACGGCCGATTCACAGCAGTGTGCCAGTGGGCCACTTATCCAGCAGCTGATTTCGTGATGATATAATTGCCGGCGTGCCGGTGACGTAAATTCTGGTAAGACTCCGTCCGAGTGAGGTGAAAGTTTTAAGATCGACTGCACAAAACACAAAAAACCCTGACACAGAGAAACGACCTGATACTATGTCACAAGTAGCGCGCGAACACACGTGTGTACTCACGCCCCTGCCTCACCATAATTTGTATCCAAATAATACAAGCGGAAGCATAATATCAGAGAAACTCATTGACATTTTAAAAAAAAAAACGAAGTTGTTCAGTTTTAAATTTCTTACGCAATTATTGCACCTCGTGTTTGCGGTTTCTCAAAGAAAGTTTGACTTTCCGTCGAAACATAGATACGTCATACGCACGCACTCAGACATATTTATATTCTTAATATGGGTTCCGGAGCTTTGTTGTGAATAAAGCTAAATAAACAGAGTAAAACATTTATAAATGCTTAAAGTTAGCTTTTACAGTTTCGCCTGCATAATAAATAAAAAATATAAATTTATAAATCTAAAGCAAAAACTTACCCGTTAATAATGGTATCAATGTAATACAGTATAATTTCATTACTGTTTCGCTATTATATAAACCAAAAATAAAACATATTATATTCGCACCTATAAATTCGAAATCAATCAATTCAAAATCAATTAGTAATATGAAATTCATTAGTTAAATTCAAAATAAAACCGGTTCACCTCATTGTAACCTATGACCGCACAAGAAGTCTTCTAACCAATAAATAATGATTTGAAAGTAACAAAGAAGATTACGTGTGCGCGCAGAATCGCCATTAACAGTGGTATCGCTCGAATCATGACCGTTTTGACCGCGTACCGGAACGCACTCTGGCCCCACCAATGCAGAGGCAAATTAAAATATCTGTTTAGCTATCAAAACATATTTCTGGTATCTTACAAATTAATAAAACGGTTACGTTTTTTTATTGCATTAACTTGACAGCTCACGGTTCCGGGGTTCAGTAAACACCGGAACCCAATCACATTTTTTACTGGTGGCAGGACCTCTTTTGAGTCCGCGCGGGTAGGAACCACCACCCTCCCTATTTCTGCCGTGAAGCAGTGATGCGTTTCGGTTTGAAGGGTAGGGCAGCCGTTGTAACTAAACTTGAGACCTTAGAACTTATATCTCAAGGTGGGTGGCGCGTTTACGTTGTAGATGTCTATGGGCTTCAGGAACCACTTAACACCAGGTGGGCTGTGAGCTCGTCCACCCATCTAAGCAATGAAAATAAAAAATAAAAAAAAACATAATAATGTAAATAACGCCATACACCTTGAGATTTATTTCTCTTATTGCCATAATTATTGTCACCGTAGGCGACAGCAATTCCAGAGGTACAACTAGTAAGCCGCTAGTCTTATCGATAAAGACGCAATTATCGAACTATATGTTGTTTTACAACATTATGGTGTATCTATTGTCCCACTTGTCAAACCAAAAATGCAACAGCTTGGCGGTAGATATAGACAAAATTGCGGTACCTACCCGTGTAAAGAAGCCATGAAATACGAAAATTACACTAATTTACTCTAATTTTAAAAGATGAATAATATAATGAATGATATTTAAATAATGAAAGATATTCGTTGTTCTACGAGATTTCCAAAGTCGCATCGCTCATTACCAGTATACCGGGCATCTAATTGTTTACGCCGCGACGACTTTAAAGTTGTTGCAAATCATTATTTTATCGCAACATTCAAAATACCATTATCCAGAGTCAGAGGGATTAGAAGTATAAGCTGAACAAAGGAATTTACTGAACTTCAAAAAGTTAAGAAATGTACACATGTACAAATCGTTGCAAAGCAAAGCAACCTAACATAAGGTGCGATTATATCAATTATAGGTTTTACAACCTCAATCGACATCGAGTGCACGACAAAATAATTTCTGCTGTCCTTTAAAACGACATTGATGAACTCTAATGATAATACAGACATAATCTTGAAGAATGATCCGGCTTACAAATCAAACCTTCAATGAGTTTCACTTTAAAGTATCGATACTCAAAAAAGAAGTCACCATTTGTGATTCAATTATAAAAAATATATAATTTGCCAAAAACCACGACGTAATTCTTCTCAGATCCGGAAGCAAGTGTATTTGTGTTATTACAGGTAATGTTGGATCCGTCACGCATGCTCTGCGCCCGCACTCTGTGCGTGCCATGGTCACAAGTTCACCTCACCTCGATGAGCATCCAACATGACTCTATCGTTAGAATAAACCCCTCGCTAAGATTAAATCTACACCATTATAAAATTGTACAAGTGTACAGTCGGTATATTGAAAATNACGTAATTCTTCTCAGATCCGGAAGCAAGTGTATTTGTGTTATTACAGGTAATGTTGGATCCGTCACGCATGCTCTGCGCCCGCACTCTGTGC